ATGGCACGTATTTGTGACAGTCAGTGCGAAAGGGTTAAAACTTAAGAGATTGTTACGTTAAAAATTCTAAACTTAATCTTAAGTGATAATTTTCCACCACTTTTTTAAAAAAAAGTTTCTTTTCAAGATTGCAAAATGTTGCGCAAACGTAGCGTCAGCGGTGACCGTGTAAAATAAATTCATACTTTTTTTTCTCCAAAACGTGAAATATTAACCAAATAGATGTAAGAATTTTTTGTATTTACCAATTTTAACCCTTTCGCGCCGACTTTCACAAATACGTGCCAACATGAAACCGTATCAATCAGTGTTAAGAGATAAAACTGGTAACCAAAGTAGTCCTTTATCAGTTTATTTGTGGGCGGGGTAATAATAGTTTGCTTTATTTAATGCACCACTAATTAGTTCGAATTAAAAATTGTATAGTTACACTTTTATCACATATTGATTGGATGTGTTGAGATTTAAAGTAAAAGCAAAAATAAATCTGGAAAATTAGCTATGTCCAAACTTAACCCTTTTGAAGGCCGTGGTAAGTATCCTTACCACCACGTTTTACCACTTTAAATTTTGGTTTCCATTTTTCAATAACTTCCACTTTCTTGAAGTGAGTTTGAATAAAATTGGCAACCATTTGTCACTTTTAAAAAACGTATCAAAGTTATAAAATACATAATTCCTTTAGAAGTTTGTAACATTTGAGGAATTTATTTTATAAATAAAGAAAAATAAAAGTCAGTAAGTTCCTAATAGGTCATGTTAAATATATTTACCACCAAAAAAATGGCATTTTTATAAACTAAATGAGTTTTTTTTTATTTTTTATATCAGCTACTGTTCTTAAAACAATTTCAATTCCAAAAATACTTTAATTTTCCTTTACCAGAAATAAAGGGCCCATTAAAGGGTTAAACTACCGATTTTTTTTCTCTTCTACCATCCTGAAACTGATTCCTCACGAATACATTTATGATTCGTCCGTCCCGGGTTAAATATTATTAATAAAAATCGACGGAAATATGGAAGATTATGTAATGAAGAGCATATTATATATTTTGATTTCAGAAAATGTGAATAACTTTTCTAGCAAAGAAATTTGCGGGAATCAATATTTTTATTTAAAATACAAGATTTACGCTAAACATAAATTGAAAACTGATTTTTTATTTTATTTTATAAAACCGTTGTTCAACAACGGACCCAATTTTGGGTTTACGACTACTAATGTTCAACTCCATGGCCTCGTTATTTTGAACCCAATCCAAAAGATATAAGAACTCCTCTGTTAAGCATTGGGAGAAATTTTGCCTTAGTGGAGAACTTTTGGATGGAACTAACCCGCATTTGCGTTACACGAAGAAGAAAACAGCGAAAACTTCACACGGTTATCCTGGTGGCAAGGGAACTCAATCTCATAATCCGTCTACCATTGAGGATCGCTTACGTCAGCACTGTAGTTGATCCGAGCCGAGGGCGAAATTCTTATCAACTAGCCATCGCTGGGATTCGAACTGGTTTGAAGGTGAACGCTCTATCCCTTGAGCCACCACGATTCTGGGAAATGTATTGAAGAGAAAGCAAATATTCAATTTAAAAAAAATCAGTCAAAAAGTTCATCAGTCACTTGATGAACTTTTAAATGTCAAATCTAAGGGCAAATCTAAGGACGTTGTCAAATCTAAGGACTCGATGCGGGAAACAATTAAAGGTTTAAAAATCGTTTTAAAAGCTTTGGTTTAAACCTTACGTGATCTCTTCTACCGAGATGAGATTCAACCAATATCTTGAATTAATTGAGAAAGAGGATTTCATAAGGGGGTGCATAAGACACGATAAAAATTTATGTTTTTCAATTTATCATATTCTCCCAATTTATATATCTTGTTCAAATACATTATTTTAAACTTGTAGTAGACGACACTTGATGTTAACGCAGTTTTTTCAAATATTAATTCAGTAATAAAATTTAATTAATTAATAATTAATTCTCACAGAATAGAGCCAATATCTGTGCAATTCCCTGCCAAACCATTATCTCCAACATCAAAGAGCTTCACATGTTTTTTTAAAAAATAGTCTGCGCAGACTATTTAAAAAGTGAACCAATTGTGCGCATGAACCCAATTTCTATTTTAATAGTAATTAATACGTTCACGCAGGGGTGACCCACCGGTGGGTCACGCTAGATTTTCTCATCTTGGTGGCGCACCGGAGTAAAAAGTGGTAACAAATAAATTTCATTTTTTAGTTTTTTTCCGGGAATAATAAAAATCCATAACTACCAATTATTGTTAACGGATGCAATTTTTATATATAATTTCTTTTTCGCCATGATAAATTTCCTTGCAGCATACCTGTTGACTCTTCCGGATTTTCCGGAAGATTTTATTTTCATATTTAAAGTGGTAGCAATTCTCAGGTTATTCCAATTAACCTTTTGAATTATAATGATAATTATAAATGAGTTTGACCACCACTACATATAAATAATTACAATAAATATATGAAAGCATAATAA